GTACTTTTCCGGAAACCAGTCAATTAATTGGCAATGTTTGGCAACGCAAACGTAGGATGCCATTAAGACAGCGATGTCTGTTGAGCAATGGATTGTAGCTTTTTTGAAGACGATTAAGGAAGAACAATCTGCAGAGAGAGACACCACCTCGGCTGCTATGGAATGTCTTCGAACACACATCATACCAAAAAGTCGTCATAAAATTTTCGGGTTCGCTTTGTAGCGTCCCGAGGCTTCTCAACTGGTAGTAGAAGGCATAAGTGGGGTTGAATGCATGTATTCCGAAGAGGACAGGGCAATTGGGCCTGTAAGTGGCCCAAAGTCCAGCCCAAACGTCATGTGACCGCATTAATAATGTATCACAGAGCGTTGTATGTTTGTAAGATCCTCCAATGAAATCAACAAAGTAACTCTTGCGCTTCAACACTAATAGGAGTGTGGAATGCTTTGTTTATGCGACTATCTGACGTTTGGCGGTCACTTTAGGACTTGTCTGGACCCTGTACACGTGGGCTGGCTTTCGGGCCACACTCAGGCCCCATTTCTCCTATTGCTTTTGGAATACATGTATTCAACCTCATTTATGCCTTCTACTACCCCATTAGAAGCCTCAGGGCGCTACACTGGTGGCAGCGGAAAGAAAACCCGACATTTTTTAGCGACTTTCAGGTATAAGGTGCTTTTGAAAGCGACACAGTTTGTGGGAAAATGTGTTGCCCAACAGACACCACTGTCTTACTGACATCCTACGTTTGCCTTGCTAAACTTTGCCAATTAGCCGACTGATTTCCCGAAAAGAACAGTACGAACAAACCGAAGAGCAACGGTTCGATTGGATGATGCAATGGTTCAATACATGCAGATACCCCAAAATCGGATTACCTCGGCCGGAAAGTCGAAATCTCTATTTTCACGACATGAAGGATATAATCCAACCAGCAGACGAGACTGCAAACGAATTCTGCTTCTTAGGGGAGAAATCCAAGATTAAGAAGCGCATTTTGGCAATCATGAGCTATACATGCGTAGAAGGAAGTCTGGCTCTATCTATCGAAGTGAGTAGATAAAGATACAGGCGAAAACGGGACGTGAATTGAAGGGGGCGCATTTACCTTGAAGACGGAGGATCCCTTGACCCTTCACAACGAAAGGGTTTAGAGTGACGTCTGCATTTGGTTTCACCTTACTCCCGTGTTTCACAAACAAGCTATTAACAATTGAAGCGACACCGCCGTGAAATATCTGGAAAAGTTTCATGTGGGAATTTTCCATACAGAATCCGTGTTTAGGTGTCGGAAATAACACAACGGATCTCCTCGCATACGAGGCAGTGGCCCGTCTCCTTATCCCTGTAACATATCCGTTGTGGACCAGAGTTCCACCGTGTATTTCTGGAAGCAATCGATGGTCGACAGATGTAGGGGTCCCCGAATCTGGTTGTCAGACTGAACGAAACTCCAA